CAAACATCACTGCGAACAGAAATGGGAACGAGATCATTGTATAGGGCGCTAAATTACAATGAATGAATACGAAATCAAACAAATCACAGACTATAATTCGATACCTGGATTGATTTCGCGATAGGTAGCTATACCATATGCGTCTACGATGTTTTGAAAGCCTTTCGTAAACTTATTGGTTTTATGATAAGTCGGAGGAGCTTCTGTCGTCTCCATTCGATTCAGTATAGATGGGACTTGGCTACCGCTTTCCTCCTAAACATGAACATGCATCAAAAATCAATGGTTGCAAAATTAAATGTACCGTTCCCCTGTTCAGCGCCATTTTGATGCGTTCCAGTTCGCTGACTGGGCACCAACACTCAGCAATGAGGCATTTCTGTAACATTAATCGGTACTTCAGTAACGTACTCCATTGATCGTTTCATTATTTGACTAAGATCTGCCTAGATTTGCTGCGCTACAGTAATTCTTATTGTATCCAGCAAATCTTCGAAAACGAAAATGTATGGCAAAAAGAATACTGCGACTGTGTTCACAAATAGAGTTTGTTGATTCTTGTCTATTGCGATGACTTGTTATTTGTGCGGCTACCCTTTATATTTTTTGCGGCTGACTGTCTCCACCATATGAGGGAAACTGATGGCAGATCATAAAATGCGAGTTGAGTATCTATTCGAGTGACTTATACTACATGCATTTTCAACAATCAAAGCAGTCTCACATGTGTGACGTCGATGTTGAAGAGATTAAGTGTGTGATAGATAGCCTTTATCTTTCGGACTTTTGTTAGCCACATACGCACATTCTTCGAAGCAGCCACCTGAAAAAAATTCTTACGTGGTAGATTAGCAACAGGACAGATGATTGAACTCACCAGAACACGATGACGATGGTCTTGTGTCTGTCCCAACACAGTTTTTAAATCTTCTATTCTAGTCATAACTCCGATAGACATTTCTCGACGCTCTTGTGGCGTATCTGGGCAGGGATATAGCGTTGCACGGAATCTGAAACTTGTCTTTATTGAGAGAAACTAGGATGGCTGCTGACATTGAAGCAGGTGTCATTGATGGTACCAATCACAAAAATGCAGGCAAGTATTTGTAGTCCTAGAGAGCAAGAAAAGCTTCCCAAGAACGTATGCCTTCAAGCGCGAAATTTCGCAAACAATT